AATTTCTTTCTTTTCTTTTCTTTTCACTTTTCAGAAGTCATAAGTCATGACAAATGGTTTGCGAGGATTAACTCATTTCCAGTATTTTATGTTTATCTGAACATTAACAACCATTTTATAACCATTTTCATCCACTTGAAGTTTAGTTTTTTTAATTTACCCATCAGAGAGTTGAATGTAATGATCAGGTCAACGAGTACCAAGGGTTATGAATAAAGTTTATAACTCGATGGAAAACATTTGTCTTTTTTTACTTTTAAAGTTGAATTTTATTGAAACACCTTTCAGATTCTTCGACTGTCAATCGACAATCATGACATAAAGGGTTGTTGATAAGTAAGGTTGCAAAGTTAAAAACAATAATCTCGTGGGTATAAATGTGAAAACGATTGGAAAACTGAATGGCCAAAATGTCCAAACCTGTGGCTTCATTGTGATACATAATTGATCAAAATTAACTGATGATTTCAATCACTAAATTACAATTCAATCAGTATCTTTTTAAAAAAGTTTGCCAGCTCTATGGAAATTTAACAAGAAATGAGTTTCATCTGAAAATCTGATTCCATAACTGTACAAAAGGAGATCGAAGTTTCAACTTTGACCTCGATTTTCACGATTTTGGTCTTAATCTGAAACTCGAAGTTTACAAGAACCTGATTGACTGAGATGAGCTTCTATATTTTCGTAAATGTTACTGAAGCAGGGCATCAATACTGTGCTTTTAGCTTTGAAATTCACTCAGTTTGGTCACAAAATTTGATATATTGCATGAGTGGTTCAGCCATGAAGAAAGCCCCCTTTACAAACAATAAATCATGAATCAAGGTAAAAGATAAGTTAGATTAAAGATAAGTTTGTTATTGTTAAACATCATAAGATGGGAATGAAGATTAAATCCACTATCATGTCAAAATTAACGAGAAATTCGACGATTACTTGGAAAAATTCCTTATTCCCAGTGTGGTCTAACCTTTGTGTTTTCAGATGAGAATTGAAAATATTGTAATTTGATAAGTAATATCTTTCTTTGATTAAGTTGATTTCGCAGGAACGAGGTTGAATGATACAACAAAAGCAAGCAACGATTTGATAACAATTTGAAAGTTGATTGAAAATGTTCAACATAAAATCGACCGACTATGATCTCTAGTTAGTATATTTAAGTTACTTGCTCTCAACTCTGCTTCAGATCTATGTAGTCAATTAAAATCCTATGAAAACATGCACAATCTCTTTAACTATCAACAGCTAAAAATCAAATTATAGTACGATAAGTAAACGCTTATTCGTCCACCTATTTGTCACGAAATTAATTATAGAAGAAAAGTCGTTAGCAAATGATCGGTAAAGCTTTGCATGAAAATATTAATTTGATCCTAAAACTGGCCGATTCTTATTGCAACAACTCCTTGGCAATAGTAAGTTATCGTTTTGGTGCACATCTTTCCCACCAAAGGGTATGAAGAATTTTTTCCAGGAATCAATAATCGAATTTCTCATTAAATATGAGATGATAGTGAATATAATCTTCACATCCTTCTCATGAAATTTACAAATAACAGACTTATCGTAGATCTAGATCTAACTTATCTTTTCACCGTGATTTCAATATTTATTGTTTGCAATAATTTTATTCATTGGTGACTCAGGTTGGACAATCGATACAATACAAGTGCATGTACTGTACAGAGTGAATGTGTCATGAAATGAAGTATAAAAAGCGATGAAATTAAACACATTAGCATCAGTTAATCAACAAGTTTCACTAACAAACATTCAGTCAATTTTTCTCTGCAAAAACTATTATAATATGAAAATGATCGCCACTCTCTTCATTGTCTTTGCTATTGCTTCTTCAACTCTTGCTCAATGCCCAGTTCCTCCAACTGTCCCTGTCTCTGATGTTGCCAAAGTACGTTTATAATTATTTAATAAATTTAGCCAATACTTTAAACTGCATCCATTAATTTGGTGTTTCATTGTTTAGATTGCCGGCCGATGGTATCAAATTGCTGGACCAACTTTTTCTGGAACCGAAAATCAACCAAAATGTGTTACCGCGGATTTCACTCCAAAAAAGGATGGAAACTTTAATCTTACAATGAATGCAACTGATCCAGAGTAAGTAGACACAATCAATTGAGTTTAATTGTTTGTAATGCAAATTATTAATCCATCGTCTAGTGGCTCAAAGAATTATGGTGTTGGTTTAGTCGAACGTACTGATAATCAGAATTTACTCAAGCTTCACACATCACCATCCAGTAAGTAGTTTTGTCTGCTTTACTTTTCATCATTTGTATCATACATTCGTTAATTTAACAATAGATGCAAATACGAAAATTATTTTCATTGCAATCAATAATTATTTTGATTAATATTTTCATATTTACAGCTACGTCATCTTCAATTAACGTCTATTTGGTCGATACTGATTTCGATAATTATCTAGCTGCTTATATTTGCCTCCTTGATTCTTCGCAATCTCCAGTTCGTAAGTATCTTTCAATTTGATAAACTCAATGTCTCTTTATGCAAATCAATTTGACTAATGATAACTCAACTTTCATTATCATCACAGAAACTGGTGTCATCTTATCCAGGGCTAACACCATGGATGCTGAAAAGTATGCTGAACTGACCGATTTGTTGATTAATAAAGCTGGTGTCTCTACCGATTACTTCATAGCAACAAACCAAAATGACTGCCAATATTGATTGACCAGTTTATTAAAAAATGATGATCAATGCTGATACAAATTTCCAATTTTCAATGTATCCTTAAACTAAACAATTTATACTTTAAATAAATATATATTTCATTGCATAATCAAAGAATGTCTAAAATACTGTAAGCACCGAAATGTAGAAAGTGAAGGGTCAAATAGAGGAACAAATAGCCAAATCTTACGTGTTTTGAGTTTTGACTGTCAGCAACTAAAGAAGAAAGTAAACGAGGTCATCGCGATAATTGCTCTTTCGAATGATATGAAGATCTTAAGAAAATTCCTATTCGTTCAGATTCTATGCAAGTTTAAACACCGGCAGTCAATTTTCTAACACCCTGTACATAATTAACTTTTCAAATGAATTTTATTCAAAAATTAAGATGCTAATATCATTCTTTTCGTTCACTTTATGGTGGATAAACACATAAAACGATAAAATCATGATTTAGTTAATATTTTCTTTAAGATGAGTGACAGTCAATAAGTTTTTGATATCGTCGACCGAGATTTGTTTGTTAGTTCCAAAGAATACTTCTTTAGATGAGTCAAGCATGTTGAATCCATTAGTTGAGAAGACTCCATCAATTCCAGATCCTACCTTGAAATCAAGCCAAACGAATAAAGCTGGATAATCGGTGGATAAATTGATTTTATAAATGTTTGAATAACTGCTGAGTGATTTTTTGCCAGCATCGCTGTCGTCTTTTGAAACATCATTGATCTTAATGTTACTTTGTTTAAGGTTCAATTCCTTGGGCTTGGCCAATAGAAGGAAATTTTCACCAGAATTGAAATCAGCTACTGATGATTGGACAGTGTTGTATTTAAGTTCAACAACACAGTTCTTCAAATCAGAACTAACAGCTTCACTCAATTTTTTATCATAAACCACGGTGGCTTTGAAACTACATAGAGAATAGCAAAAAAAATGAAATCAATTGACTTGAATAGATTTGATGATAAACAATTTACCTGTCAACATCATTAGTTTGGTCTGCAATTGTTTGTTTGTTGAATGAATCAAGTTGATGAACATTAATAGTAACGGCAACGTTGACTTTACCAGAAACATCGTTATTAATAACAGCTTTCAATTGATCATTTTCTGTATAAAGTTGTCCAAATACAGGCTTGTATGAATCTCTGAGGAAATATTGAGCCATCTTCCATTTAGCAGTTCCAAATTCAATGGTTGACCAACCAGAAGCAACCCAAATATCATTGAAGATCCAATACATGGCACCCCAAGTAAACCCAGATCCATCAGCAGTATTGATTTCACGATTTCGAAGGAAAAATTCCATTTCACGCTTATTAGCAACAGCTTGAAGAATTTGAGATAAATAAGTCATCTTGAGATAACCATTTTTACCAGTTTCAGTTGGTTTTCCCATATAATAGTCAACCATTGTCTCAATTTCCTTAAGACGATCACCACTAGCTCGATGCTCTAACCATCCACTGAAAGGATAGACAAGCTCGGATTCGGGAACTGATGTAGCATACGATTCATAAGATGGCAATGATTCGAAACCAAATTCTGAGATGAATCGAGCAGCAGGGTAATTCTTTTGTTCCCAAGCATCAGCTTCATGGTAATAGAAGTGAATATCACCATAGAAATGATCATCAGCGTTACTCGAGAAACCTCCATTTTGTTCAGTGAAAGCTCCATTGGATGGACTTGAAACAACATATGGACGAGTGGTGTCATATTTAAAAACAATTGTTTTTATGGTTTCTGTGTACAACTTCTTAAAGTCTTCAACATAGGTTGAGTATTTATCTTCCAATCTGGGCCACCACCAATGTGTACCAATGGCCAATTCATTTTCGTTGCTTCCAGACCAGATAGCAATACTTGGATGATGAGCCAATCTGGAACTTGTTGTTCAACTTCAACCTTAACATTA